TTTAGCAAAAGGGCAACGTACATGAGACATTGTCCATGAGCCCAAAGACACATGGCACAGGGAAAGTCCCACCTTTATTCCCTTCATCTGAGTGAGGAAACCTGCATGTGTGAACAGCACCGAGGGGGTGGCGCCCTCCCATGCGGTGGCAATGCCGACTTAGCCCAGCGTATATAGGTCTGAATAGTGATGTTGAAGGTATCATGATTTAGCTGGCTTCTCAGCAACGTTCCTCTCAGGAGCCCACACTCGTTACACCTCACGCCCCAAAGGGATCAGGTGCTCTGGGATGTCTACCTGGAATACGTCCTTTCCTCCTTTCCTAGGTATGGGCTCCAGTAACCACCTGGGGTTGGAAATCGCGGTCAGGTACTTCTGCTTCAGGTCGCTCAGCACGGCTTGATTCTCCAGGTCCACAACCTCGTCGGGACTCAAGTTTTCAGGGCACTGTAAAGTTTCCCCAATGTCAACGAGCCCTGTGCACAAAGAGAGAAACACACAGATGTCGCTCCCTTCCATACCCCAAGGGCTGCCTGTGTGGCGCCGTGGTCATTCAAAGTCTCAACCGCTACCGACGAAGATGACATCACCAGAAGGACAGGAAGCGAGTCAAGTCCTCTTAGCTGAGCACTGATGACGAGCCGCGCTCTACTCAGGGCATCCTGGATGAGGCCGGGGGAGGGCCCCAGCAAGGATCAGGAGAGAAGCGGTACATGGACTCATGGGCGGGCCCCAGCAGACTGCTGAGGGCAGCGGTTACGGAGTGGAAGGACGGACCCCAGCCACTGCCAGGGAAGCCACAGGCGACGCCTTAGCAGTTCACCAGGTGACAGCAGCTGAAGTGGGACCTCAAGCACCCAGAGGCTGGGGGACTCGCCCAGGGCCTGCGAGCGGTGGGGCTGGGGCGGGCCTGCGAGACCAGGCAGGCAGCCTGACGCCAGAGGCCCCCTGACCCTCTCGGGGTGCTGTGCTGCCACGCCTGGTCTCTTCCATGTGCACGCGTGCATGGGCATATGCACCCAGGTGCATGCATACACACGCTGACCCCACAGGCACACACGGGCCTGACCCAGGCTCTCCGATGGCAAACGGAAACAGACCCGGGGGAAGACCGGATTTACTGGGGAGGGGGGATCTCAGCCCGCTGATCCGCCACGCGGGGCCCCTGGCAGCCCCTTTAGGTGTGTGGCGTCGGGAAGCGGCAGCAAGCCCACCAGCCAGATCAGACGACACCAGAAGGCCCCAAACCGCCCTGAAAGGTCCTGGGTGGCAGCGCTCGGAGCGGTCTGCGCACGCTTGGCCCGGGGTCACTTACCAGCTATCACTCCCCGGCCAAACTTCTCCCCTTCCCGAAGCAGGGCCTGCACCTGGGCGGGAGTCATCCCCAGCCTGTCCACCAGCAGCTCCCGCCAGGTGTCGTCCTCCCAGTCCCTGTGAGCTATGTGGATGGCGACGGTGCAGTTGCGGTGGCTGCTCAGCAGGGGCCGCCAGCGCGTCTCCACGGTCTTGACTCCGTTTAAGACAAAGCCAGCATAAGGCTGCCTGAAGGAGAGGCAGCCAAACTTCATCTCTGGGGATCCCTGGGCCGCGGGTGGCCTGCGGAAGAACAGCGGGGCGCGTCACCACCCGCTCTCCCAGCTCACCGACGGCGGGCCGGACCGTCCCCCATGTGCCCGAAACCCAGCGAGCTCGGTGCTCAGCTGCCCCTGTCACCACGCGGTCACCGATGTCCCCCTGTCACCACGCGGTCACCGATGTCCAGCACCGGGGCAGGCCCACGGGAAGGGGTTGGGATTGGCCTGACTCAGGTCCATCCTGTGGAGTCTGGGGGAGCTCACGGAGGAGGGTGGCGGCAGAGAGCCAAAGGCACCGGCAGGACAGAGCGTGGCCGGTGCTTAGGCAGAGGTCAGCAAGCCCTAGGGGAACACAGAGGAGTGAGAGCCCCTCGGCCTGATGAGAGTGGAGGGCCGGCCTGGGCGAGCCCCCTCGGCCTCGTGAGAGTTAGGGCGGGCGTGGGAGAGCCCCCTCTCTCCGATGAGTGGAAGGCCGGCAAAGGAGAGCCCCCTTGGCCTCATGAGATTGGCGAGCCGGCCTGAGAGAGCCCCCTCAGCCTCAACAGAGTGGACAGCCAGCCAGGGAGAGCCCTCTCGGTCAGATGAGATCGGAGGGCAGGCCTGGGAGAGCCCCCTCGACCTGATGAGAGTGGAGGGGTAGCTGGGGAGAGCCCCTTGGCCGGATGAGAGTGGAGAGCTGGCCTGGGAGAGCCCCCGGGCTGATGAGAGTGGAAGGTCGGCCAGTGAAAGCCCCCTCGGCCTGATGAGAGTGGAGGGCTGGCATAGGAGAGCCCCCTCGGCCTCATGAGAGTGGAGGGGCAGCCGGGGAGAGCCCCCTTGGCCTGATGAGAGTGGAGAGCAGGCCCGGGAGAGCCCCCGGGCTGATGAGAGTGGAAGGTCGGCCAGTGAAAGCCCCCTCGGCCTCATGAGAGCCGGCCAGGGAGAGCCCCCTCGGCCGGATGAGAGTGGAGAGCTGGCCTGGGAGAGCTCCCTCGGCTTCATGAGAGTGGAGGGGCAGCCGGGGAGAGCCCCTCGGCCGGATGAGAGTGGAGAGCTGGCCCGGGAGAGCCCCCGGGCTGATGAGAGTGGAAGGCCGGCCAGTGAAAGCCCCCTCGGCCTGATGAGAGTGGAGGGCCGGCATAGGAGAGCCCCCTCGGCCTCATGAGAGCCGGCAAGAGAGAGCCCCTCGGCCAGATGAGAGTGGAGAGCTGGCCTGGCATTCGCCCTCTTCCAGCACAGGGGGGCAGTCCCAGGTGCTCCTTCTTGTCCTTTACCTTCCCCGCTCCCACCAACACTCTCAGATCCCTGGCCCTGCCACCGCCACGGCACTGCAGACCGTGATCTTTCTGGCCCCTGCCCCAGGCTGGCTGAGCCCAAATCCTTGCTACCCAACCTCAGGCCTGCTCTCAGAACACCCTGTGACCTCGGATAGGCCCCCTCAGGTGTCTCCCCCACATCCCTCTGTCTGTGTCCCAACCCATCCCACCCGGCTCTCTCCGCTGTCAGCACATGCCCTCCACCTGAGCCCCCAAAAATAAGGCGTGAGAGTCAGAACATGGGCCCGGCACTGGTAGGGGCTCAATTCTGAATCGGGGAATTGAATCCCTACAGGACTCGGCAGGGCTCGTGCTACCGTGAGGCCCACTCTACGGTGAGGAGGACCAGGCGCCGAGTGATGAGGTGACATGGGCCCTGACCTCCTGCACCCCTAACCCGGTGTTTACCCCCTTTCGTGTACCTGGGGAGGGCGTCTCCTCCTCCTGGCTGGAGCACAGCGCTGTGCTGCATGCAGGAGCAACAGCCCCAGGCAGGCAGGGGCATGAGCCTGAAGCTGGAACCTGAGCCCCGTCACAGCATCTCGAGAAGCCTCCGTGTCCACATGGCTGTGAGGATGGCACACGAGGCACCCAGGGCACCCAGCCCAGACCCGGACACCTCACGGACAGCCACGTGTGGTGGCCCCTCTCATCGCCATCAGGACCGGGCCTGGGCCACTTCCCCTGTCCTGCACCCCACCCAGAGGCCACGCCCTCCACTCGGGGTAGTGCCCCCCTGTCCTTCCTTCAGGTGCACAAACTCAACCTCCAGCATCTCCCAGGGCCTTCAGGACACGTGCCCAGCCTCAGAGACACGCCTGAGAGGACCAAAGCTGCCTGGTGCTGGCTCCTTTCCCCGCCTGCGGTCCTGCCTTCTGGGCACCAGATCTTCTGCCTTCCTCCTGCTTCAGGGGTGCGCAGCCCCCGCCAAGAGCACCCCTGCCCTGCTCTTGGGAGCCCACTCCCTGTGCTCGCTCAGCATCGCTCCGGCCCCTCCCCTGAGTGGAAGCCTGCGAGGACCCTGCCTGCGGGCCCTTCCTTCGTCAGGGAAAAGTCGCTGCTCGGAGCACACGAGAGCCCCCAGCCCTGCTTCCCTTCTCTGAAGCCCTGCAAGCAGAGTCCCTAGGGAGCTGTCTACACTCGCAGCCTCTGCTTCCGCTCTGAACCTTTGGTCCCCCGGCCAGTCTCAGGGTCACACGCACGCGCCCCGCACCAGGCCCGGTGCCCCTCACCACAGCAGCGGGACCCTCTGGCGGCGGGGGCGGAGCAAAGGCTCCCTCAGTGTCGCGGGGCTAAGGCCCGCGGGGCCCACATGCCGTTCCCCGGCGTTTAATTCGGAGGACGCCTCGCCCGGCCCGGTGTCACGGGCCACAGCGCGGGCCCGCTTCAGGGCTAGGCGAGCTCACAGCCCGAGGGCCGAGCCAGGATCACCGAGGCCGGCGCCGAGGGGGCGGGTGTGCGTGGAGCTCGAGCCGGCTTCCGCCAGGCAGGGCAGGTCGCAGGGGCCCACACCCAGAGGGAGAGGGGCAGGGGCGCGCTGGCAGGAGCCGGGGACGAGGGACGCCTCGGGCGCGCCCAGCCCTACTCCCAGCCCCACAGCCGGGGAAACTGGTGCTGTCGGGGGAGGGCCGAGGGCGCCGGTCCCCGCCGCCTCGGGCCCGGGCTGGTCAAGGCCTCTGCACCCAGGATCCTGGGGGGCCTCTGCACCCAGCATCCTGGGGCGCCTCTGCACCCAGCATCCTTGGGGGCCTCTGCACCCAGGATCCTTGGGAGGCCTCTGCACCCAGGATCCTTGGGGGCCTCTGCACCCAGGATCCTTGGGGGCCTCTGCAACCAGGATCCTTGGGAGGCCTCTGCCCCCAGGATCCTTGGGAGGCCTCTGCCCCCAGGATCCTTGGGGGCCTCTGCCCCCAGGATCCTTGGGGGCCTCTGCCCCCAGCATCCTTGGGGGCCTCTGCCCCCAGCATCCTTGGGGGGCCTCTGCCCCCAGGATCCTTGGGAGGCCTCTGCA